TGGCTGCAGGGATTTTGGGAGCTGAACTCCACAAAGCGAAATGTTTTTGTTGCAGCGGTAGATGGTGGCTTCCTTCCATGGCTGCATTTGCACTGGAGACATAGGAATGCATTTCTGACACTGCTTTAACTGCAACAGGTTGCATCTACACCACAGAATTAATGCAGTTTGACATTGCTTTAACTGCCACGGCTCAGTGCTATGGAATCCTGGGATTGGTAGTCTGTGGTGGCACCGGAGCTCTCTGACAGGGAAGGCCAAATAGTTTGCAAAACTACAAATCTCAGAATCCCATAGCATTGAGTCACGGCAGTTAAAACAGTGTCAAACTGCATTAATTCCACAGTGTAGATGCAGCCCAAGTTAGTGAGGTGGTGAATCCAGAGCTGAACCTGATCCTCCCATTTAAGTTAAACACCCTGGATAGATCCTACAAAGCTAGATTTAAAACATAGTGTAGATTCACTGCTCCCCAATTATCAGGAACCTATCATCCACCTTTGTTTCCTTGCCTTCTGTAGTGTTTTCTTTTAAAAGCTTCTCTGGTGTATGCAGACTTTTCTTTGCACAAGCTTGGGGTGCATCTACACTGTAGAAATAATACAGTTTGACACCACTCTAACCTCCATGGCTCCATCTTACAGAATCCTGGGATCTGTAGTTTGGGGAGAAGGTCTCAGGGTGAATCTACACTGCAAAACCAATGCAGTTTGACACTGCATTAACTGCCTTGGCTCCATTCTACATAATCCTGGGATTTGTAGTTGGAGGAGATGGTCTTAGGGTGCATTGACACTGTAGAAACAATGCAGTTTGACCCTACTCTATAGCTGCCTTGGATCCATCCTGCAGAATCTTAGGATTTGTAGTTGAGGGAGAAGGTCTCAGGGGTGCATCTACACTGTAGAAACAATACAGTTTGACATCACTTTAACTGCCACGGCTCCATCCTACAGAAACCTGGCATCTGTACTTTGGTGAGGCACTAGGACTTTAGGGCAGGAAAAAAAGGGGGAAAGCACCTTGTAGTTTTGTGAGATATTTTGCTTTTTTCCTATCGTGGCTTCCATAGGATGGAGCCGTGGCAGTTAAAGCGGTGTCAGTCTGCATTATTCCTGCAGTGCAGATGCAGCCCTGCTTTTTTCTATCATGGAGTGCTTGCAATGAAAAAGCGCCCTTCCTTGCTTCCTCTTTGTGGGTCAGGATCCGCAGCAGGCCCCTCTTCCTCCTCCTCCCAGGTTGCCTGCAGAGCCTTCCTTCCTCATTCCTGAGGCTCTGGGGACGATGGCCTTTGCTAATGATTAACGCAGGCAGAGAGAGCCAGAGAGAGAGCAACCCTGGGAGAAGAACCACTGGCCCAGGAAACACGGAGCTACGCAAAGCCACGGCGGCCCATGGACCAGAGCCAGCCTTCGGGTCCCTGGAGAGTTTCCAGAAAAGAAAGGAACCATTGTAGTCAATGGTCATATATATATATATATGGTGCCCATCCCTGGCACAATGGGAAAGATGCCCAGGTGGTCCCCAACATCAGAAGGCATAAGAAGTGATTGCTTTAGGTTGCACCTACATTGGAGAATTAAGGCGGTTTGATGCCGCTTTAACTGCCACGGCTCCGTGCTATGTATGGAATCCTGGGATCTGTAGTTTGCTGAACTATTTAGCTTCCTCTGTCAGAGAGCTCTGGCACCACAACAAATCCCAGGATTCCACAGCATGGAGCCATGGCAGTTAAAGTGGTGCCAAACTGTATTAATTTTGCAGCCTTAGCTTTAAACACCAAAGCAAAGCAAAGCAAAGCAAAGGAGTTCTGTGCCAGTCTGAAAATCTAGGGAGCATTCGCTTCTAGAAATTCCTATGGAATCCTGGGATTTCTAGTTTGTTGTGGCACCAGACAGGGAGGGCTAGACAGTTCACCAAACTACAAATCCCAGAATTCCATAATGTTGAGCTATGGCTGTTAAAGTGGTGTCAAACTGCATTAATTCTGTAGTGCAGATGCAGCCTAGGGCTCCAGTTGGGAATGCTGGAAAGGGCTGCAATGATTTCTCCTGCTGCATCCATTTACCACCCATAAAGCTTGTAGGGTCACAGAGTCCTAGAGTTGGAAGAGACCCCAAGGGCCATCTATTCTAACCCCTTTCTGCCATGCAGGAAGACACCATCAAAGCCCTCCTTGTGACAGATGGCCAAAGAAAGAGACTCCAAGGCACTGTCTTCCTCTGCCAAATGGCTCTTACCATCACAATTTTCCCCTTAAGGTTTAGGTGGATTCTCATGTTATATCAGGGATGTGTGTGTCGGTTTGGTGCTCCCAAAGAAAGCCTTGGTGAGGCTTGAAATGGTCACCAGTTCCAGCTCCAAACAGATTTTGTGGGTCCTGCTGATCAAAACATCTTGGGGCTTTGACCCCGTGATCCCAGGATCCATTACACCTCTGGTCATTCCTAGCAGAAACACTGGGAAAGTAGGCTTTTCCCCACTCAAGTCCCCCTCCATCTTCTCCACTGCAAAGGGAGGGAAGGAAGGAAGGAAGGAAGGAAGGAAGGAAGGAAGGCTCATCTTACCCATCTATTACAGGTGTCACATTCATGATTCTCTCTGCCTCCAAGCGATATTGGTCTGCTGAACCAAGAGCAAGATGGGAGAGAAGCAAGCATGCAACCAGGTGCAGAGACATGATGCATTGCAATGGTCCAGAGTCCTTCTTGCAGAGGTTCATTCCTCTTGGAGGCTTTGCCAGGAGTGATTCTCGGCACGAAATGGGACCTACCTTTGATCTACGGAGGTGACTGATCACTGCCTTGGATTCTTGGACTAGGACGATCCGACCAGGTGTGAACTCCAAGGTGTGATACACAGCCCCCTCCTGCTAGCCATAAAAAGTGTTGGGGAGGAGCCCTGGAAGGATCTTCAGGAAGGAACAAATTGTTCAGTCCCTTTCCTGACTTGAGAGGCACATGGGCAGCGATGGAGACTTGAGCCAATTGACTCAGACTCAAGCCACTTCAGTGGCTTGGCTTGGCACCAGTGGCACACACTGGCTCCACTTGACCTGGTTTTTAATGATTGACCTGCTGGCATCATTCACTTCCATTAGCACCAGGCAAGACCTGCTCCCAGAGCATTTGGTGCATTTCTCAGAAGGGACAGCAAATGCCTTCGGC